GTGCACTCCTATACAACAGCATAGCTGAGGTTATTTTGATAGTATCTGACCTTTTCTTTTGAAAAAACTGAATAAGTTGGGTGAAGTAAGGTGACAGCCTGTGCGGTGTGGCCATAAAATGGCTGTGATCCCAGAGATATGTCAGATAGACATCAGAGGTCACATATAAACTCTGAGCAGTGTGCACAGGTACACAGTGTACTTGTGCGTCCTCTCAAAGCCCTGACTGACATCACACATCTCACCTTGGCTTTTGGCACGCTGGCAGCCTTTGTTCATTTTTAATGCATTTGGAAACTAGTAATTAAGTCCCCTCCCCCAACGGACTGGGAAATTGACATGCTCTGGAGAGCCAGTGAGTAATTATATTTGTAAAGAGCAGTGATACAAGATACTCCCCCCTGACTGGGACTCATTACACATCATTAGAGAGGCGCGGCCATAGTGAGCTACACGCCCACCCCACACACATACGCACACACACACACACACACACACACACAGGGCAGAAGGGGCTAAGGCGCACACACACAAACTGATCAATGAACAAACCCAAACACTGCTCTGTCTAAACACACTGTGATCTGACCCCAGAGCCTGATGCTAAAAGGACACCTGCTCTCTCCATGTGCTGTCTGCTGATAACCAGGCAGAGGTGGGTCAATAAATAATTACTGATCAAATCTCAATCTTATAAACTGCAAACATCTGAAATATGAAAGTTTTCAAATGAGTCCTCAGGAGAAGTATGGCCCAATAATCACAGCATGAGCATCAGGTGGAGGCTGCAGGGGCCAAACTTACTGCACTTTAATTGGAACAGAAGTGCTGGCAAATCACTGCAGACTTGTTAGGACTCTGCTTGCTGTTTCCTTTCTGCTGAGATTCTGTGGGTTCCACACTTTACGTGCCTGGGAGTGGCTCACAGTTCTCCCATAGGGGTTAGCTGTACTGCTCTGTACACACTATTATACAACTTGTTCTATCCTTTCAAAAACAATACTTGTTCATATTTTTACTCCATTCAATGACCACTAAAACCTACAACCTGCATTCTGTGGATTTCTTTTCAACAGGTGATCTTGGAGGCACCACTTACATTGTACAAAGCCAAAAGAGTTACCTCAGCCCAGTGCACTCTGCTAATGGAAACGCTTTCTAACAAAAACTACATTACCAAATCTCCCTAATTCTGCTCCCTTTTAATGAACTGAAAAGCACTAACACTGCAATTACAGCAGCTGCAGTAATAATATGCAAATGATATTAGCATCTTTAATAGCTGTAGATAAATAAAACATCCCTGAATTCGATTTAGTGTTTCCAATTTGTCGATTTCTCCTGTGGAATACATTTTAGCCCTTTGCAAATACAATTCCCTGAGATTTAGAGAGCGGTCTGCTATTGTTTCTGTAGAAATAGTGAAATATTCAGAGTGTTTGGCTTTCAAAGGTGTTTACTGCATTATTAATGCCACATTCAGATTGCTCAGGGAGGACGAGGAGAGCTACAGTATTTTAGTAGCACAGAGCCTGGTTTGACTTGTCTGTCTTCACTTTAAACTCATTATCTTGTCTAATTCACTAGGCCGCCATTATTCCCCCGTCCCTCTAAGCAGCCTAATTAAAAGAGCTTTGGTTTTTTATTAATATGCAATTATTTATTTATTTATGTGCTCCTTTCTATGGCACAGTAAGAGGCTGCATATGTCGAACAAAAGAGGGAAGAGACACAAGTGTTCTGATCAGCATCATCTTTCACCAGTACTGCAAAGTAACTTATTATCTTTCAAATACAGTATAATTGATAATATTTTTATTTTTATTTATCAAGTAAGCTACATTGTATTTTCAAACTACTAAGTCATTTTTGCCCCCATTTCCAAACCAGCCATAAAGTCCGGTCATTAGTAAACTATCATAAAGCATATGAGCAAATGTGATTATATTTTACCATCATAACTATTTTGCTTGAATACTAATACTACAACTGTGGATAATTTGGAGGAGGCCTATTTCATGTAGTAGTTGTTGGTATCAGTGGTAACATTGTAGTAATATATTGCAGAATATCTCTAGCTACAATATTACAGGCACATATTAGGTTCTTCAAACCGTGCCATTCAGTTTGCTGTATGTATCAGTGAAACACTTAACAGAGATTAGCTTGGATCAATGCTAACAGTTATAGCCTTATCATTTATGTAAAGGCAAAAAGAAATAAATTGAAGACATGCAATTATGATTTGTCAAGTACGTATGGCTTTATGAGAGGAAATCTTCAGTCGGCTTAAAGCAAATTGGCCCATCATACAATCTATCCCTCTCTCTCTAGCCTTGGTTGTGTTTACTTTGTGTGTGTGTGTATGTGTGTGTGTACATGTGAGAGTGCGTACAGTTTAAAGTACCACAGGGAGATTATCAGACCAGGCTAGTGATGGACATTATCGCTCCCTACATGCATCACTTCTTCTTGTTTCTCAGAATGGCTGGCGGGCAGAGGGCAAAGCAGAGCACATTGTCGACCGTGTGTGTGTGTTGTGTGTATTTATGCCACAAAAATCGTACTATTTTTGTGTGGTATTTTGGACTATGTGACGTGTGAGGGTGCGTGCATGTAGAATGACATTTAGTGAAAATGTGCCAAGCGCTGGGAAAAAAACATCTGACTCATAATTGAAGTGCCATGAAAGAAATATGATCATGAATTTGAATTAGGCTTGTGTGCTGGTAGCTATGAACAAGGCGTACAGCGAAGGAGCACATCCAGCTAAGGAGATCGTGGTAATATACAGCTATGCCTTACCAATGGGTGACACTTACAAATAATACATCAGGAATTTATGTTAAAAAGATACAACGAATGAAAGCAGCAACAAGTGAAGATAAAATGGATAGTCCAACCAGCTCACACCACTGTTGAAAACAGCACAGGTTGACAAATGTATCACTGTGAATGCCAAAGAATAAATTGACTTTCTCTGTGTGTCTTTGGCACAATGCACACATACAAATGCCATGTTTTTGAAGGTATAATAGGACATTGGCTCTATGCTATACATTCAAAGGTGCACTACACTACCAATCAAACGTTTGAATCCAATTTTTCATTTATGTTTCTAGTATTTACACTGTAGATTCTAACTGAAGGCATAAAAAATTATGAGTGGACACATATGGCAAACAAAAAAGTCAAAATAACTGGATTTAAAAAAAATAACAACCACCCTTTGCTTTAAACTCTGGTTTACACTTTGGTTGACACTAACATGGCACAGCTGTAAAGTCCAAGCGTTGTCAACAAAACACAGGGTGGTTACTGTGAGGATTTGAATGTAAAATCTAATTATTTAACTTGTTTACATCATTGTTTGCATTACATTGTTTACAGTTGCATCATCTAATTCAATGTATTTTGTATGTATATACAATGTAGAAAGTGATTAAAAATTCATATTTGAATTTTTTGAAAATAAGGTGTGTACACACACTTTTTTTTTTTTTTTTTTTTTTTTTTTTTGGATTTGTCACCAACTCGCCTCCATGGAGTTTCTATTTCTTTACCTTGAATGGTTCACAGTATGGCTTAAACTGACCTAACATGCACTTATTCATTTGCAGGTGCTTCTAAAGAAAAATTATACCTTGAAATATTAATACTTACCATGAGTGGGGTCGCCTCTCCACAGATATGACCTGCAACTTGTAAACTGGTCTTCATGGATATAGATACATTTATTGTCATACTGTGAAATATTTGTGGCACATCTCCATGGAGACAAGCAGGTCTGGGACAGTCCACCAGAAAATTTACATAATACATCTTTTAAATGACAGATATAACATACTGAATACTACCATCACTACTATTAACCCACTGAGTGTAAACAAAACAAAATAGTTATAGTTAAGAGTTTGTCATTGAGACCTTTTCATGTTGCTACTGATGGTTCAGAATTAGCCCCAAATAGACTGATAATGGGTATTTGAGTTGATAATTTAATGTAAATCTCTCTAGTATTATGTCTAATTAGATTATTTAGGGCTCAAATTAAATATGCATTGAACCCCAAGGACAGAATATGTGACTGTGAAGAGGAGCACAACATGATCTAATGAAAAAACAATTGAGTCTGCTGTTGAATTATTAATTTTGTCATATATCAGGCATGAATAAAAAAAGATTTAAACAAAGTGACTCAACCTAACAAAGAAAACATCTGCTCTTACTGTACTATTCTGCACAACAAGGCAAGCTACACCATCTGTGTTAGTGGCCTATTTGTAAAATTAACTTTGAAATCGACGCTATTACAAATACTTTTCATATCAGCTTTGTTCAGAACAGGAAAAACACTCCAGCAGACTCATCAGTCTGTGCGCTAGCACCTGCCATCCATTTAGGCCAAATCTGAAGCAACGTTTTCAAAAAATGCAAATGACAACATGCAGATTTCATTTTATATCCAGTAAGTGTTTGTTGGCCAAGCACTCTAAATGTAAAAAATGTGTGAGCGGGGAAATCAACTGTGTCAGAGAGATGGATGGAATAGGTACAAAGCATTGGTAGTGTGCTAACAAACTCCATTTTGTGTTGCTGCAGCTGTTTCCATGGAGCTCCCTCTCCCTCCTCTCCCTCCCTCTCTCTCTCTCTCTCCTTCACACAAGTGTCTGAAAGAGGATTCAGCTGCGCCAGTCAATCTGCACCATCCACAAGTCCGCGAGAAAAACCCTTCACTGCCTGTAGCACACTCCTCTCACACCACCCCATTTTCAAACTCATTACAATAATTTCTTTATTTATTCCTAAACTGCATCCACGAAAACATTGAGCCTACTTTCAGAGAACTCAATTAATCTACATTTGTGTAACACCTTAAACAGGGAAGCCTTGTAACTAATGCTTCATCGGTGACAATCTTTGCTTTTCACACCTATAGCGTGACCTACTAACATGCCCCAGAAAATGTCCTTGAAGAATTATGGAGAAAGGGTGCTTACCCAGGACGCCAACGCGGTAGTTGAGAGTGATCACGATGACATTTCCATAGCTGGCCAGCACACTACCATCGATCATGTTGCCGGTCCCCTCCATGTAGGATCCCCCGTGGATGTAGACCATCACCGGCTTGGCTCCAGTGTCTCGAATGTCTGTAAGAGTGGCCATGGTTAACACATGCTCATTGGCTCATTGGCCAAGTCCGCAGCAAAAAGGTCAAAGTAGTATGAAATGTTTAGGATGCAGACAGACAAGAGAATGGGCAAGCTCTCTCCCAGATACCAGCTGTCTGAAGAATTTAGGCTGTAGGGCTTTGTGCTGCTAAAATAAAGTCTACATTTTATAATGCCTGGACTTCAGAGTTAAAGCTTAAACAAATCAATATAGAGACTGTTTGAAAACCTAAATATTGGATTGGCTTTTTCATTTTGCATAGCTGTGTATCGAATAGTAAACTTAATCCTTCTTGTTGCTCTCTGTAAAACCTCAGGTAGATCAATAGACACAAATTATGCACACATTTATGTTGCAAGGCATCGACAAGTTCCAGCTTAAAGCCCCACCACATAATTTTTTAGAACAAAAAGACTAAAATAAAAGCCTTTTTTACTGTGAGTGGACTTGCATCTCCACAAACCTGACTCTTACTTGGTCTGGAGGAGGACTCCTCCTGCTTGTTTCCATGGAAATGTAGTTGTTCTGTAGTATGACATAAACCTTGGATAACGTTTTAAAATTTGATTTTAACATTCAATTTCCATGGAATCATGCATGTAACGTGCCGCCTCAGAAAAATTACGCAGTGTTGCTTTATGACTAAACAACATTTTAAAATAACAGCAATATTTGAGTTTTTATAATATGACTGTCATGCATAACCATGCATAGTTTATGAAAGCAACACAGCATGATCCTCTTTGTTCTAGAAAATGTTCATCTGAATAATGAACTAAATAAAACAATCACTGCTGTGGAGTTATTTACCGCCAACTGTTAGTGTTCATTTTGGTGGTGCCCTCTAGTATGTGCTTCCCAATATAGACACGTAGGAAGCCATTAGAGGGGATAAAAAGAGAGGTGGTCTGACACATCTTCTAACCAGGGAGGGGGCTAATCTGGCCCGATGGTGATAGGGAAAAAGCACCAGCTAATTACACAGTGGGACCATGCTCTTTTGTACACACAGTCTATCTCCGTGTAACAATTTATTTGCTCTGGTCCTTCCTGCCAGTTAAGTTTGTGCTTGGTTTCAGTAACATGTTGTTTATTTGAGCCCCCAGACCAGAGCTTGATAACCAATCTGAACAACAGTCAAGTCACATAACGGGGGAAGGACAAAAACTGGAGTAAACATCTGTGAAGACTGACATGGTAATTGATTAAAATACACAAATTTTAAATAACTCAAATCATACTGTATATTGAAAACTTGCATAGAAGTGTAACAAAGGAATAATTGCGTCTATTTTAATTTTGCAGTCTGATATTTGACATAAAAGATTCTTGTAAATCTTCCCAGATTTTTGGAACAATTTTCAGAAACTAATTAACTTCGAGAGCCAAGTCTGGATGGATTATAGATTTGGAAGTGCAACCTGCATATTAGCCATTTTGTCAAAACAAAAATATTGTCTTCTACAAGGGGAGATGGTATGATAGGGTGACAAACAAAAGCAAAAATAAGAGGGACTAAGGGTGAAATGAACAACTTGTCGTGATTTTAGCTCAACAGAAGATTTATAGTTGTGATCAAGGTGGAGCGACCAAAAGTGAAAAAAAGCACATTGAAAGGTTTTTGGAGAAACAATTCCTCTGTCTGAAGGGATAGAGTGAAATACCTAGCGCTGTGAAGACCTCTCATTTTTACTATACCGCCTTTAAAGCTGCAATCCACCCATCACCACCCATACCCCCCTCTGTCTCTCCTTTTGCATGGACAACTCACTGTCTTTTTTTATCTTGCGTGCCTATAAACCAGAGTGGTCAGAATAAAAGTGGGTGGGATTTCAAAACAGGCAAAAAAGACAAAGCTATATACACAAACAGATGCCGTATGAATTGTTGCAGCAAAAATACACAGGGAGTAATGGGTTCTGATTTTTAAGGGGGTGGTATTGTATTCTGGTTGCTATGGTGACAGAGAGCCAAAATTTATGCTCCTCAAGAATCACATCCCACATCCACCCATCTGTATGCCCTGCTTGTTATAACCGATCACATTAGCATGCCCAAGCTAAGCTACGCAAATGCATTTTCTCAATAACCCCTATTCAAGAGTTCAGCCTGGATTCATGGTTTTCTTTTAGCTGTTCGTGGCCCCATTATACTTAGAAGCAAAACAATAGCCTGCATTATATATGATCCAGACGTATTTATGATTTGGTTTTATCTGGCTGGTATCTGAGAGGGCTCTTTTATAGTGAAATGGGATTTACAGCCAGCTCCATGCACACATCCATTTGATGAAAAGGTGGCTACAGTAAAAAAACAGCATCACAACATCCCTTGGTGAAATAACACATAAAGAGGAGGGAGGAGAGGAAAAAGAGATTAGTCATGTCAGTGTTATCAGTCACCTCTTTTGTTGATTCACATTGGGTCGCCATGACAACATAGCATTTGATTCAAAATTTAGTTCAATATTTTTGTTTCAGTATAACCATATATATTTGTAAACTGCTTGAATAAGTGGTAAATTTTTGTTTTTTTATGCTACTGCGCGTGGATAATTTGGCCAATCAAGTTTAACATTTGCAAAACATAATATGGCACATTTGAAAACTTGCCAGATTGAAAAATGTAAATCAGGGTCAGATGTATAGGCTTCAGTGTATTTACGTAAAAACTTATATATATTAAATACAGCCTGTATTAGTGTTATAATTCAAATTAAATGTAGGTCATACAATAAGTGCATATCCTATATGTGTAGGCTACTGAATTAAAAAATATTGTTTAATTGTATCATGGTTTTGGTTCTCTGGTCTTCAAAGCCTTGTTGCTTCTGCTAAAAAGGACAAAAAAGTTGATTAATGCAGGTAAACATCAACAATCCATGCACAAAAAGTAACTTAAGTATAAGGCAAAACAGACAACAAAATATAGAGTAGTAAAAAAGGTTACTGCAAAAGTACTCCATATACTTTGGTGTGTCTTTTGCGTGTTTGAAGTATACTGCATGCTGAACAGCAGGGTACATGTGGTATACTTATTCTAGTTTTATTATATGAACAAATAAATATAAAATGATTGCACGCAGATCAACACTCACTTTGCTGTCTAAAATTTAAAGGTGCACTATGTAACTTTTTGGTTGAGGGTCCGTCACCTGCTTGTTTCTATGGGTATGTCATCACTCTGCCTAGAATGTTGACAGTATGACATTAAACAGCTCTAACTTACTTTTATTCAATTACAGGTGGTTTTATAGCTCAAAAAATTCTGACTTTAAGGAGGGCTGCCTCTGCACAGATCTGACCTGTAAGTTGGTCTGGTTTGGTCTCCATGAAGATAGAAATGTTTAATGACATACTCTAAAACATTCCAGACAAAGCAATAACATCTCCATGGAGGAAAGCATTTGACGGACCCTCCAGCAGAAAAGACAATGCAACTTTAAACAAATAAAAAATGGAAGTGATTAAATTAAGATCATTTCCACAGAGCTTCTAAACACTTCACTCCTTAGTAGCTCTATATTCACCTATGCTCAATCAAATGCAATGCAAATGGACACACTCTACCACAGACAGACATGGGCCACATCAGAACAAGCTGAACTCCTTATTCCTTTATAGGTGCAGTGGTGTGGTCGCAGACTGATTGGTGTTCCAGTGGGAGGCGTAACTCAGAAGCAGACTTGGGCCCGGAGTGTTGTTGCTTCCAGGAAAACTCAGCAGGATCTCTACAGGCACACATCCTTCACCTAGTGGCCATATTGCTTTTTTTCTCCCTCCCAACTTCACCTCAATCGCTCCATCCTCCCTGTCTTTAGTTTGGTGAAAACAGTCATATATCTGATGTTAAGCACTATACACAGAGCTGGCCTTGACACTTCATTGCAAGACGGGGACAAAGTGAGATGGCATGGACTGTGTCAACACTTGCTGGGACATGGCGGCTGTCAGCGGCTATCGGGGAGGTCCGAGCTGGTGGTGGTGGTGGGGTGGGGGGGTGGAGGGGGCATGTACCCTACTGTAGAGCTGCTGTCAGGCCTAGGCTTCATGCTTGGATTGGAACAAGTCCATTACGCCCATGTTCCTGTTTAAAAAGTGCACATGCTTTATCGAAAATGTTCCCTCCAAAGCGAAGTAATTACATGGCAGTCGTCTGTGTGGTTGTACTAGTCCACCGCATGTCGGTGAAAGTGAGATAGCAGCACAAGGCCTTGTGGAAATAGAGTGAGACTATAAATGTACAAATTCTATAAATAAGCAGTGAGTTTGCACATCATCAGGTGTGCAGCTCCATATGCATTGGTACAGTATGACAGACAACCAGAATAGCTGGCATTTCTCTTGTGTCAGTCAAGGTGATATACAGTTCATAAAGTAATGCGCTCAGATAAGTTTGGAGTTTGGAGACAACCTTACCCATTCATTTTCATGAGATCAAACTTGTAACATCAAATTTACTAACTCTTCATGGTAATTAGGCTACCACATAGCCGCTTAAAGCCTTGACAGCTTACTTTGCACATCCAAATCAGGCTTATATCATTTCTCAAAAGTACTTTATTTTTGGACAGGGATGCTCTGGTCTCAGAAAGTTGTGAAAAGCACTTTCAAATTCATCGCTATGAATAATTATATGCTAGGAATTATTTTTGGGCCACTACCACAAACAGTTTAAAATGAACTAATTCTGCTTCTAATATACCTCTATCCTTTTGATGGTCATTTTTAATTCTTCCTCTGAGAATGTATTGTAGTTTGCTGATATTATAGCAGCATCCTTGAGATACTAAAGAAGACTATAAAGTAAATCCATACAAGGCAAAGGAGCTGTTAAAATTGAGTTTATGTCCACACTATGAATCCTGACATCTCCTCAGAAAATAATGGAAGATATGACCTTTGTGTGAAGGTGACTAGTGCCTGTGTGTTTATGACTTACATATGGTCCTGAGAGCAGCAGAGAGCACTGTATGTGG